TCAGGCCCCAAGCATTGATTGATTGATGAATTATTATTATTATTCATTTATTAGTTGAAGCACTCTGAAGAGTTCCTTTAATGCACTCCAAGTTATGGGAAGGGAAAGGGGAAACCACTGATGCCATAACCGGGGCAGCAGCCAAATCTCATTGGGGACCAAGGCCTTCTGGGCTTGAGGAGCAACTGCAGGGGCTGCAGGGGGTGAGGGGAGTGGCCCTGGTATTGGGAGGCTCAGAGGCCCTTTTCTTCATCCCCTCATTGGGGCTTTTAGGGAATTCCCACAGCCTGGCCTCTCAATTGGGTACAAGGATCTCTCAATAAATAATCCTCATATATGAAGACTAGTGTCCTTGGGTGGTGTAAAGGGCTAACGTTTTTGGCTACTAACTGAAAGATTGGTAATTTGAGTCCACTGAGAGGCACCTAAGAAGAAAAGGCTGGTGATGTACTTCTAGAAAATCAGCCATTGAAAATCCTATAAAACACAGTTCTACTCTGACACACATGGGATCGCCATGGGTGAGAGCTGACTCTTCACGTATATGAAGACTGTTGTTGTTGTTGTTATGTGCCATCAAGTCGGCCCCGACTCATAGTGACCCCTCCTTGGGTTTCCGAGGCAGTATCACTACAGAAGTAGGATTGCCCAACCGTCCTTCCAAGGAGTGGCTGCTGGGTTTGAACCATCAGACTTCTGGAAGACTACCACTGTTTTATTATCTAGGTCTTTTACATACATATGTTAACTCATTTAATCCCAATGATCATCCCACAGGGTAAGAATTACTGTTCCCATTTTGCAGTTAAGGAAGCTGAGGTGCAATAAGATTGGACAAGTTCTCCAGCGTTTCATGGTTGTTGTTGCTGTTATGTACCATCGAGTCGGACCCGACTCATAGAGACCCCTCCTTGGATTTCTGAGGCAGTATCACTACGGAAGTAGATTGCCCCATCTTCCTTCTGAGGAGTGGCTGGCATTTCATGGTTAGTAGTCTCTAGATAGGAGTTCTGGTGGTATAGTGCCTAAGGTATTTGACTGCTAACCAGAAAGCTGGAGGTTCAACCCCCCAGCTACTACTCGGAAGGAAGATTGGGCAATCAACTTCCATAGTGATACCACCTCAGATGTGATGTAGTGGTTAAGGTGTTTGGCTGCTAACCAGAAGATTGGCAGTTTGAACCCGTTAGCCTCTCTGTGAAAGAAAGATTGGGCAGCCTGCTTCGGTAAAGATTTGTAGCCTTGGAAATCCAATGGGGGTCGCTATGAGTCAGAATTGACTTGATAACAGTGAGTTTGGTTTTTGGTTTTGAGTCTGTGGATGGGGGGAGCAGGGAGCTGGATCTTATTGCCTACAACACATTGAATGATTATAAAAGGAAGAATGTCTAAGGTCTAAGAGGGTAGTGGAGCCAGAGCAGGGGGCTGGCTTGTGATGGGAGGGTTGACAGATATTCTCCTGTGTTAGCTCTGTTGTCTCAAATCTCAGAGAGTGACTCTTCTTTGCCTTTGTTCACCGATGGTGGGCTCTGACCTGGTATGGAGGTGAGGCACTGTGGGATGAAAGGGACTCAGTCTCTCCCTCCTCTGGGTCCAGCCTGGCAGGGGCAGAGATCAATTGCATCCCAGTCCTCAGATTCATGCCAACCCAGAGTAGAAGCAGGCTGTGTAGAGATTCCTAACATTGACACTTTACAAGACCTCTTGGAGTCCTCAAAGTGTGGATGGCTTTGTCAACTCAGAGGGTCCATACCTTTCATTGGCTTCTCAAGAGGCCCAGGATACAACATAATAGAAACTCTCTCTCTTTTCTTTTTAATTTTTTGGAGAGTGGCTTCACCAGAAAAAGTAAAATTTTATGAATTCAAACTTGATAGAAATGGTTGCGAGCATGTTGTGTCTGGAATCAAAATTCCTGCTTGTTCTGCTTGTATGACTCTGGGCAAGCTACTTAGTCATTCTGGGCTTCAGTTCTCTTATGTAAAATGAGGGAAGTAACAGTACCAGCCCCATAGGGCTCTTTGGAGATTATAAGTTAATGGCTTTATGGTGCCTGGCACAAGGGAAGTATGACATTGGTGTTAGCTCTTGCCCTAAGCCTCACTCATGGTAAAGGCTTGAAGAACTCTTTACGTGAAATCTTCACATCTCAGAAAGGAAGCAGAATTGATTGGGTCTCAGCATGAAGGGTAGATTACTCAACAAGCAAGGTAAGCATGGGTTTACTTGTGCTTACTTAGTAATCTGTAGTGAACAATTTTGCCTGGGTTTATCTTGCTTACTGAGATTGTAAATTTGAAAAGAGGCTTTGATTCTGTAGGAAAGTGCTGTGGGGTTGGGGGAAAGACAGATGCCAGCCATACCTAGAAGCAGAATATTTGGTGTAAATGAGAAAAGGTGAAATTGTTCACTACAGATTACCAAGTAAGCTCAAGTAATACTGTGCTTACCTTGCTTGTTGGGTAATCCAACACTACTCAGTATGAGGGAGCCCGCAGAG